GCAACCTGGACAGAAATACTTTAGTCGCAGCGTGCAAGGTCTCTATTGTTAACACTCCTATAAATGTCAGCATTTACTCGCACCAGCTGTTGCCAGCTGCTGTTGTTACTTCCTAGGCTTCCCCAGAAGTGCTAAGGAGGCAAATGTCACTTCAGCTCTGTTTCTTCTCCAATCCAAGGAGGCCATCTCCCTGTCAGAGAAGAGCTGATGGCCTCACAACTGGTACGAACCAAAACGACAGCCTGCTATTCAGATGACGGCCACTAGACCTAACAGGTGGAGAAAACCAAGGTCAATATTATCAAAGGGTATTAAGAGTTAACGGCTGCTCCACGCAAGACCCTGGGTGAGGTGACCTTTTCTTATGAGAGAGATAGTGATGTCCCATTTCACAGAGGAGAAGCCAGCCTCAGGGCAACTTGTCTGAATGCACAAGGCCAGTAAGTGGCAGGGTTAGGTTCTCCTCCGTGACTGTCAGACAAGGCTCCCAAGGCCCTTTTTCCCATCCAGAGGAGGAGGTGAGAGGATTAAAAGATGCGATCCCACACCAGAGAGCATCCATCAGAGTGCACACGGCCAGACACAGGACTCGTCCTGCGGGGCAGTGCTGTCCCATTTCCCGCCCCGTGAACATACATCTTGAACCCATCCTGGAGTCTTATCTGGAGCACCAAGGATGTGTTAGCACAGCACCTGCTTTCTTGCTCTTCAAATAGTAAGAATCTGACTTGAATTTTCTGAACTAAAACATGGACACACTTAGGAACTGAATAATGATCCAGAATAGCAGGTAAGATCCCACCAACCAGAGATGGTCCCCCCAGGAGAAAGAAGCATGTGGTCAGGCCCCTGCCGTAAGCAGTCCCTGGGGCTGCACTGGAGTTTCCAGTACGGGCTGTGTGCAGAGCATTGCCAGGACCAGTGCTTGGGCACGAAGGGTGTCAACAGTGCTCAGGGGACGAGCGACTATGCGATAAATTCCATAATGTCTGACCACTCTCCACTTAAGATGCACACCATTAAAAACTCCACACCGTCTCCTGATTTTCCTTCATAGCCACTTCATGTCACCACAGGCTCTGAGTCCCCATAGTTGGACATGGTTGTCTCCTCCTTAATTCTACTGAGTCTGGTCTCTGCCCATGCCAATTCCTCCCCCAGGTGCCAGATCAATGATCGTCTATAATATATTCCTCCAGTCCAACACCTTTTTGACGGTGCAATTTTTACTTTTACATTTAATGTCTATTTTCTCAAAGTAACACATGCTAAGCTTTAAATTCAAATATTTTTAAAAGACTTACAATGGAAAAAATTGCAGCTCATCTCCCCCCCAATCTCTGAATCTCAATCCCCAGGAGCAAGCACTCAGTTCTTTTACCTGTTTCCTCTGGTATTCGTTTCCAGTTTTCAAAACGTTATACTTACACAACTGCTATTTCTTTATCTGTAAATTTTAGATGTTGTTTAAAGACTGCCTTACTGCGGAGCCTGAGATTTTAGTCTTTGACATTCCCTTTCCCTTCCCACACTTGTCCTCCCCCATCCTCTCAAGGCCATGATAGGACCATAGGGGCTATTTCAAAATCCAGTTTGCCAATGTAAATGTGGTTGACATCAGATCTGCCTCGAGGACTTACTATGCTTTTGTTCCTTTAGCGGCAACACTTTCATATGTTGTGGAATTAATTGCTTAGCTCAGGGGGTGCATGTGTATATAAATATATACATTTATATATTCACATATATTTTATTTATGTATTTGTATGTATATATACACACACATTCATATATATATAGTTTTGATAAAAAACCATTAAACTCTTTTGAATATAATAACCAGGAGATATATTCGTTTCATGTTTTTTCTTAAAGAAATCATTTGTAGAGCCCTCTGTCATCCTACTCAGATCTGACCCTGCTTCTCTCTAGGCCTCCGACAGCTTTCATCCTACACTTCCTTTTATCACCCCGGGATCCCCTCTGCCTCTCTCCTCTAGTAAATCCCTTGTTTCTGTGAGTATCGTGTCCATCTCTCTCTTCAATTACTTCCGTATTTTTAGTGACTCACATTCTCCAGTAACTTCTTCAGAAAGAGTGTCTGAAAATATTGCTATTCCATCCTCACAAATAATTGCTATTTTGGCTGGGTATAGACTTCTGTCCTGGAAACTTTTCCTTCAGAAAGTTTTAGGGACTTCTCTATTAGTTTCTAATTTTCAACGTCATTTAGGAGTCCAAGGCCATCCTAATTCATGATTCTTTATAAGTAAAATCCATCCACTTCCCTATCACCAGAAGCTTTTAGAATATTCTCTTTACCCAGATGCTCTGAAATTTCACGATGATTCATCTTGGTGTGGTCTCTTTTTATTAGTTCGGCTGAGTGCTCAGTGGACATTTGCATTATACATTTGTTCCCTTTTATCTCCACACCCACCTCCCATCTTCCCGCCATACAAACTACTATTACAATATAGTCAACGTCTGCTTTTTATTTCAATGCATTTTTACAAACTGTATGGTGTGTGTGTTTCTATTTATATAAATGATATATCACACTGTTTCCTTCTTGTTTTCACTAAACTCTATGTTTTTAAGATACTCTATGTTGCCATGTGTAGGTGGTATTTATTGCTCCTAAGTGCTGAATAGTAAGTACATCATGGATTGCATCCAATAGTTTTCCTACCTACTCTCACAGTCATGAATACTCAGGTTTTCTCCAATTCCCCACCATCAAAAAACAGTGCTGGAAAGAGTATCCTTGCACACGTGTCTCAACTGATCTTTTCATTTGGTAATGTGAGTTTACTGGTGCTGGGAACATTTTAGTGTTTTTCTTCATTAATTTCTTCTTTTGCATTTTATGTAACCCTTATTAGTTGAATGTCTGACTCCTCCTCTGATTTTCTGATTTTCATTCTATTTTTTATATGATTGCATCAATTTTATATTCCAGCCATTTACTATCTTTATATTTTTATTACACATTTTACATTAATTCGTTTTACATTCATGTAAATTTTACATTAATTATTTTACATTAATGTCCAAGAACTCTTCTTAACTGCTAAATGCTTTCTCTTTATAGCAATCTGTTACTTTGTGGATAAAATTATTTCTCATCTATTTCTGCTGATATCAATTATACTTTTTAAAAGTTATCTTCTGCCCTCTGCATTGCTCATATTCCCTCAAGTTCCTTTTTTCTATTTATTTTGTTTTTGTCCTTTGTGTTAAATGTTTTCTTCAAATGATAGTGATCTCTAGCTGTGTGTGTTCATGTTTAAGAGCAAAGGCAGAAAAGGCTTCTTGGAAACTCTGTGTGCATGGTTGTGGTTTGTAGAATGGTGCCTATAGTGCCCCCTTTTCCCCAAAATAGTCTATATCCTAATTTCTGGAACCTGGAACTGTTACCTTATTTGGAAAAGGGCCTTAGCAGATATAATTAAGGTAAGAATCTTGAGATGAAGAGGTCATCCTGGATTATCCAGTTAACCTTAAATCCAGTGACAAGTGTCCTCATAAGAGAGAGGTAGGCAGAAGAGAAGGTGGCAATGTGACCGCAGAGACAGAGACTGGAGTGACACAGCCACAAGCCAAGGAATGCCTGCAGCTACCAGAGGCTGGAAGAGGAAGAGAGAGCCCTTGGAGGGAGTATGACCCTGCTAGTGTTTGGACCTCTCGCCTCCAAACATTAGAGAATTAATTTCTCCCCAGTTTTAAGCCACTTAGTTTGTGGTAATTTGTTTCAGTAGCCATAGGAAACTAATATCATGAGCCTCACCGAGGTGATAGGTGGGAACCATTTCTCTGATCAACCTCAATTATCAGTATACATAGGTCTTTTCTCAAGCTTAATAATTTCCCCACAAAGAAAATGAATTCCCCACCAATGCTCTGAGCTCCTGCCAGATGGCTCCAGTTCTGAGAGTCATGCCATTGAGGTAGGCTGGGAGAACCAGAACTCAGTTTGTGGACTTTTACTTAACCCTCCTGTTCTCACCACAATATATCATCCCCACCCTCAGAGGCAACAGATGTTACCACCCCCAGCTTCTCCCATTCAGCCTCTACAGGGAGTAAGACTCCTAACCATGTCTGGGGCGAAGGCTGGGTGTGGCACATACCTGTCAGCATTGTGGGGTGGGAGAGATCTAGGGTGTCGGGAGAGAGCTGCTAAGTGTTCCTTTCAAGGACTTTTGACCAATCCTGTCTCCTTCCCGGTCAATCTCCCAATAAAAGCTTTTTACTTTTCTCAAAAGCTGGTGCCACAGTATTGACTTTGGTGCCCATCAGGAGCAAGCCCTGCTAACACACTGTATATTCCAAACAAAAACCCAACACTTCTCAAAACCATCTCTGATAACTTCAGACGATATTGATTTGTCCCTTCTCCAAAACACCAATTATCTGCATCTTACATTAGTCAGTAAAATAACTGCCATTCCCTGTTTTAAGTATCTGTGTTGTCATCTCCCCAAAACATAAGGTCCTTAAAGACAGGAACCAGGCCTTATACTTCACATGCCCCTCACAATTCTTCCCATGGCTTTGGACACTGAGTACTTGCTGATTGATGTACACTAACCCAAGCCTCAAATACGGGATCTGATGTCCAATACATGACAAAAAATCATTCGAGGGTAAAGCCTGTATCTTACTCAACTTTATATCCCTAACAGGCAGCACAGAGTTCGACACAGAAGGCCTATGACTGCTGAGCGACTAAATGAAAAGATGGATGGAAAAATGAATTCTCAGTAGATACTGTGTTCAATGCTGCACCTGACCTGAAGATTTTTTTACTTCCTAAGAATAACAAAGATGACTAGACAGGCAGTTCACTACTGCACTCCCGACATCAGGAACATCACTCAGCACACAGGAGCTGCCCAGTAAACATCTTCTAAATGAAGCTTCAATGAATGAATCTGACACGAGTCAGGAGCACCAGTTTATGGTTAGAAAATGGTTAAAAGAAGCATGTGGCTTACCCAGAAAGCACTCCCAGGACTAGGTTGAGAACAAAGAAGGATCCAATGATGATGAGGGGGATGAAGTACAGCCAATTCCAGGTGGCTCCTAAGGCATCATTGGTCTGAAAGAAAGAAGAATGGTTCCTTAATAATTCATCAAAACCTGAAGGCCTCTATTCTCGCAGCTTTCCACACAGGATAATGTTATAAGCACAGTGCAATGCAGTTAAACATTGCCTCGCTCCACTCCCAATCCGGCGTTACTGTGAGTTAACTCCTCTCCCATATGCCTAGTAAAGGACATTGCATCAGCCTCATGCAACATCCTCAGTTGGAGTAGTTGAACACCCTCACTTAACAGATGAGAGAACAGAACGCGGAAAGGTCAACTACTTTTCCAAGATCATGCAAACGATAGCTTTTATAGTGTTTGATGCTGTGGGTTCTAAGTTTCTGCACTCTGAATTGGACAAATTCTTGAAAAGACAGGGGCAGGCTGTGCCCATCACTCTATTCCACAGATGCTGGCCAAGGCCTTGACAGGGCTGCTTGGGAAAAAGTAGGGTCACCCACATCCTGCTCAGCCTTTGACCTGACCTCTAGCTTTCTGAACTCTGGCTTGCTCTCTTCCATCATAGTCCCATAGTACAGAGCTGGCCCCAGGCCTGGCCCCAGCAAGGCTCTGGACAAAACAGAAATAAATCTAGATTTGAAGAGTGATCTCTTACTCTCTTTCTAATGCTAACACACAGTGACCTAAAAAATGCAGAGAGATCCATATTCTAGATTCTCATACTGAAACTTAAATGCAAGGCTCTTGAATGGTGGGGGCTGAGGTGCATTACACCACACAGAAGCAACTCTTGGCAGGATATCTTACTAGGACATTGAAACAGAATTTGGGAGCATTTTGCAAAATTCTAACACTTGAGCGTCTCAACTAAGCTTCACCTTGACTCCCCCTCCCCATGATATCAACCCCAAATCTTTCAAAATAGTCTCCTTGAATTGCATTTTACATATCCAGGGCTTTAAAATTCTCCCCACCACATACACACAAAACTCTAATACTTAATTGAAACTCAATTTCTGGAAAGATATTTTTATTCCCAATTCACTGGAGAAAAAGGCATCCAAGTCAAATGCCCTGCCCCAAATTCACGTGCTAAATTAGTTAAAACGAAGCTGCAAGTTCGGTATTTCTATGGCAACGTGTTTCTCGTCCCTGTGATTTACCTTCCACTGAACTTTGCAAACATACTTTGATTCATTGAACTCATGCTCCCTGTGGATTTCTATGACAGTCTACCTTGTTTTCTCCCAAATGATCTCATTTCCTTTCTGCCTCCCATTCAAGTGTGCCAGCCCATAGGCCACAGCCTCCCACTGGTTATCATGGCAGCCATCACCGTACAGTAGATTTTTCCATTAAAAAGAGCTTTGAGGAAACCTCTTTTCACCAAGCTTGTGTCTTCTGTCTTGCCCCTACACTGTTTGGAGAGATATGATGGAGCAAAATAAAAGTTAAAAACAAACACTTCCCGACTGGGTGGGACAAAGGCAGGGACTTGCTAATTTCAGTGCATAAGATGTAACTCTTAGGGTTGAGCAGGTCTGCTCAGGTCAATGTAAGCAGGGAAGACGTGGGCCAGGCCTCAGAGAAAACTGCCCCTGACTCAAATACGAAAAACCAGACGCCAAGGGGCCAAAGGGCTTTCCATGGACATAGAAAACTGTTTTTTCTCCTAGATAGTTGAGGCATGGCCCTTCCTGTGAGCTGCAGGATGGACTGAATGATATTAGTACAGTTAGCTCTGTCTTTATTCATGATTATAAATGCAGCACTATGTAAAACTAGTTAGCTAGGGTGGTTCACAAGTGGTGCTCAGACCGACAAGTTTCATTCACTCTATGGCTTAGCCAGCTCCCTGCTCAGCGACCTTTGTCAGCAAGGAGCAAGCCTGCTCCCAGCACCTGGATCAGGGCTCAGTTGCCAATAAACATAAGTTGGTGTCAGCGATGGCGATGATGACATTATGCCCTTTAAGGTGTCTTTGGGCCCAGGAGTGATTGAGCTATAGTTTGAAGGGAGCTAAAGCAATTTTTCAGTTGGGTGACTATTTGCCAGAGACGCTGTGGAGTGAAGAGCATCCCCCAAACTGTGTTCTCGTTGCTAGAGGTCCGTCAGATGTTCAGGTGTTCTGTGGGAAATGGGCTTCTGTAACCGAAGAAACTTGGGAAACACAGCAAATTATATTTTCCTCTTAGCCTATGAGAAGACCCACAATAAAGGAACACTAACTTTGTTTATTCCATCATTTTATACACTTCCTTGATTATGAAACTCCCTTTCTCAAGGAAAATCCATGAACGTGTTAGGAAGTAGAGCCTGTGAAATGCAGAGATCAAAGGACTCCCCTCACTGCTCCAGAGTCTGGAACACGCTTCCCAATTCTTCTAGAAAATACCGATGATGAACAGCATCTTTTCAGTCAGTGTTTTGTGAGAATGTTTTGATTCCGCTGTAACCTACACTCACTAAGGCAAGAACCTAAACCGTCTGCTCATTTCTGTACCTGGCACTTAAAGTGTTTGGCACATATAGCTGTTCAATTAATCAATAAACAACCACAATTTGAATAAGATGATTCTCATGTTTGAAATATACCCAAAAAAAATCATTCTGATATTCCCCTCTCCATCTGTGCAGCTCTGTCTCAATTGCTTAAAAAAAAAAAGTCATCCACTATGGCATTGGGGCCTGTTGGATGAACAAAAGAAGAGGGAGGGAAGATGGGGAGAAAAAATCTGGGAGGACCCCAGCACAGTGGCACTATGCCCTGGGGGGTTGTTAGAGATGACTGACAGCTTAAAAGGTTCTTTTGGAGAAAGCAGCTTGACAGCCCAGAGATTACTCACCAACCTTTTTAACAGACTTGCCACCCCCTCTCCACACCTTTCTCCTCTCCCTTCCATCCTTCCTCCCCAGGTGGCCTGACCCTCAAGTCACCTGCCTGTCACTGGGTCGATGACACATCCAGTCCAGTAGGGCAAGGCCACGTGCCTCAGCAGGACGGGCAAGCAGAGGGCCTCCCCCTTCCCTCCTCCAAAGGCTCTTTCTGATGCTAACCAGAGCTTCACTCTCCTTCTGATTCATCATTATTAAAACCTTTAAATTGTCCAGTGTAGGAGAGACAACTACTAAAGTGTCTTCTGGGATCAAAAGAGAAAAACTTAACCGACAACTCCCAAGGCAGCAAGTGCTCGGGACCACGTGAGGTGGGAGTCAGGGATGCCATGCGGAAAGTTGACAGTTCAAGTTCTATCACTGTGGAGGTGGAAGAATTTCTCCCTTCCTGTCTCCGCTGTCCCCCTGCCGCCACCCTCTGCCCCTGTGACTCTGACAAGAGGCTTACACGTAGGATCATCACACTTTATGTTCCCCAGCGACTCTTCCTTCAGAAACGGGGGACAGCCGTGCTAAGGTCTCTGAGCAAGATCCCGAGGAAGGAGACCCACCGCTTTCTAAACATGTCCAGCCCGATTCTGGCCCCAGGAGAGTCTCGCAGTGAACCTTTCTCTGCCCAGGTCCCTACTGTGGAGCATGGCCGTGTGAACCGGGCCCCTCCCTGCAAAGAAAGTGACACAAGGAGTGCCAGCCTCCTGCTTCCCACCATTCGCTGGACACCTGCCACCTCGCCTCAGGCATTACAGAAGCCTGCTACTCTCTGGGGGCACCTTCCTCTTAATGTAAGATGCTGATTCTCCTCCCACCTGGCCCAGCCCAGCCCCTAGACCGGCAGGCTGGCTGCTCCCCAACCTTCTCACCTGCTGATTCCCTGAGTGACACACACATGCACCTGTGCGCGTGACGGGGGTGATGACAGGCAGAGAAGGCAGTCGGGGGTGGCAGCCCACCTGCACAGGAGTGCTCAGTGGGCCCCGGTCCTGACACAGTGGGAATGTGTTCCTCCGGGAGCCTGCTGACTGGGGGTGGGGAGCGCACCCACTCCCTGCGTAAACAGGCACACACAGCAATTATCACATTAATCTCGGGGGACTGGGAAAGCTGGAGGAAGGTGGGGGTGGGGGAGCAGGATGGAAGAGAAAGACAGGGATGGAGACAGCAAGAAGAAGGGGTCCCCTGGTTCTCCGGGTCGGCTGTAATGGGTAGGGCTGGGCTCCACCCTTGGAAACAGGTCTCTAGAGAGGTTCCACAGGGCTCTGGGAAAACACATGAACTTGCCTTTCAGAGCAGCTCCAGCTGGAGGCTGAGTTGGGACTGGACTTACCATACTGATTCCAGGGTCCCTTTTTTTGTTTTTTTAAAAAAGAAAGGTTTCTGGGGTACACCTACTCCCGACTGAAGGCAGCACCTGCTGGCAAGCCCTGGACCAACTAACAGCCAGGTTTCTCAGCCTGGCTGGAGAGCTCTTTGCTGTGGGTGGGTGTCCTGTGTGGTGCATTAGCAGCATTCCTGGCCTCTACCCACCAGGTGCCAGGAGTACCCCCCCCCCGGCCCAGTTGCGATAACCAAAAATGTCTCCAGAATCTCCACTGTGATGGGAGAGGGCAAAAACAGCTTCCAGCTGAGGACTACTGGCCTCCAGGCTCCAGCTCAAAAAAGATATCTTTGGAATTACCAACCAAGCCCAGGTCCAGGGATGGTTAGAGCAGCCACCCTAGCCTGCCAAGAAGGCCAGCCATTCATCTCAGCCAAAGCATCTGCGCAAGGCCTCTGCTGACCGGAGAGAGAGAAAACTCAGAGAGGGGAAGGGTGGGGAGGAAAAGGCGGAGGCTGAAGACAGATTCAACTGCCCAACACCTTCCCTATGGGCAACACACCCAGGCACTTGCTTTCCCTTGGCCCCCACTTCACTGCAGGGCCCAGCCCGACAGCTCCTTCCCCACCCCAAGGGCCTTGGAGTCCACGGCTCAGAGCTGAATGCCATATTATGCTCAACAAATCAACGATCACACAGTGTGTGGCAGACACTCTTCTAGGTGTGGGAAATCAGTGATGAGATCAGATAGTCCCAGGCCGTGCCCATGAAAAAGAGAGTATAACAGACGGGTCCACACAGAGGAGGAATCAGATTCCCCAATCAAGTGGAGAGTCCAA